TTATAAGCGGCGCTATTAGATGGGAGACCCCATTTATAATTGTTTTGCGTATCTTTGTGTGTTGAATTGGTGTAGAGGGCTTCTACATCCATAGTGGCCAGGATGGTGTTTTCTGGAAGATCACCGATGGATTGTAGTTTCCTCAGGAAGTCAGTAGTGTCTCAAAGGTAGCGTAGGGTCTGAGGAGAGAGTCTACATAACCAGACAAGACTGATGTTAGGGTGCCAAGGCCTGAGATGATGGGGCGTCCAGGATTTCCAGGTTTATGGATCTTGGGTAGCAAATAGAATACCCCTGGTCGGGGTTCTAGGCATGTGTCTGTACAGATTTGTTCCTGTGCTTTGTCAGGGTAGTTTTTTTAGCTAGATGGTGTAGTTTCTTTAGGTAATCCTCAGTGGGATCAGAGGATAATGGCCTGTAGAATGTGGTGTTAGAGAGCTGTCTAGCAGCCTCTTGGTCATATTCCAATTTATTCATGATGATGACAGCACCTCCTTTGTCAGCCTTTTGATTATGATGTCAGAGTTGTTTCTGAGGCTGTAGATGGCGTTGTGTTCAGCATGGCTGAGGTTATGGGGCAAGTGATGTTGCTTTTCTATCTGTATGAAGCACACCAGAAATGCAATTTTACCCATGAATGCCCACAAAGAATAGATATTTTTGGTTTTGCTTACAGATATGAGTATTCTCTGTTCCCCTTACTCCTGTCAGCCTTTAGACCAAAGACAGATATTGGGATATATTGTTTGGGAGATACCAAAGAAGAAAAGTCTGCTAATTCCAAACAGTACATTCCAATCTCTTTTGCTTCCATTAGAATTTTCCACAAATAGTTCTTCATCTTGATGATAGAATTTGGACTTTCCCTTAATATTGGGCTGGATTGTGCAACCCTTACTCATCCTGATGAGCACTTATTTTAAAAATTATCCTAATTCTGACAATGGGGCTGCTTGGTTGAGTAAGTGCTTGTCAGTAGGAGTAAGAGTTGCACAATCTAGCATTTTTGCTCATGTGCTGTTTCACCAATTGATAGCTTTAAAGGGCTGAATTTTGAACATCTTTGTGGCTATCTAAAAATCATCTCTCTACTTTTATTTACTTTGGGATTTAACTTGATTATGTTTGTTATTCAGTAATGAAACTTTAAGTGCAATAGAACATGGATCCATTTACATCACCAGAGAATTTGACTTAGTAATCCTCTCTCTCTCTCACACACACACACACAGCTTGGTGGTCTCCCTCCACTTCTCAAAATCAAAATGTAATAGCAGCATGCTGTACTGAGTTCTCATGTTACTAACATTTAATTACTTCAACAAATTGCAGTGTAGTAGTTGAATAAATTAGTATCCTATGAAGTATCATAAATAATTAATATCAAAACATATGGACAAATACATTTTGTTGATTCAGTGTCCTTGTAATTTTTTCATGGTATTTGTTCAGTTATTTGCAAATGTATAAAATTTGGTAATCCACAGAGGGTTTCCCTATCATTTGTATGGCTTAACAAGATTCTACTGTACTATTGTTTTGCTGTTTCTCCAAAGAAATGCGTCTTCTAGACCTCTTAGAAAATCTTTTGTTTGTCAAAAACATTATTTTTGCTTTTTCCCCTAGTTCTAAAATTATAAGATATTTCTCCTAAAATTATGTTTGTGGTTTCCATGTTATGGTTACATTAATTTCCTTTAAAACACAAACGTTTATATTATTTTGTATGCTTAAATTTAGATTTAAATGTTTTCTTTATGTGGTGATTAAACACATTTTTTCAGTAAATTCACCTCACTTCCTCCCCCCACCCCCAACCCCTTTCTCTTTATAAACAGGTCATTTTTACTTTTTGGAAGGTCAAAATGATGCTCTGCTGTGTGGCAACAGTTCAGATGCAGGGTAAGAAAATGTTTCATTATATTTTATGGTCTTTTATGAAAACAGTTATATGTATAGATATAACTTAGGAAAACTCAAGCGGACAACCCACTGCAGTGTCTTCCACAGTTTATTATTTCAAATCAACAAAGTTTCTGGAGTATGATACTGGATTTCTGAGTATCAGTATCAACATGACTTGAACTTGCAATGGTCCTATCTAAGTGCATCAGGCTAGCCTCTTTCCCTAAAAGTAGGCATTCAAATACTTTGAGAATAAACATTTGCTGCCATCTGGCTGAGTAGTGCCCTTATTATCAGCCATGCCAGTGGACACTCTTTTGCAATTCCACAGGAGATGTGCTGACAGCTGACAAGCTTGTGAGAATCAAGAGCTTGAATGGGAAGGATAGTTTATTATAAATTTGATTATTAAAGCATTGAAATGTTCTTAGAAAATAACATACTTTTTTTCTTTTCTAATTTGTTTTGTCTTAGTTAACCTTACAGCATCCTTTATTGGATTGTTTTGTAGCGTAAAATTTTAGCTGAGACTAATTTAATCTTGAGTAAGTGACTGAATGTTGGCAACTCATACTCCTGAACATTTCTATGATGTACAGTCGTGTGTAATGATTTGGAGTATCTATTTAAAATAGCATTTCTTCTTCTTTTGTAGTCAATGTCCAGAAGGATATATATGTGTAAAAGCTGGTAGAAATCCCAACTATGGCTACACAAGCTTTGACACATTCAGCTGGGCGTTTTTGTCACTCTTTCGACTGATGACTCAGGACTTTTGGGAGAATCTTTATCAGCTGGTGAGGATCCACTAAAATAAACACTATTACTACTACTACTAGAACAACTACAACATAGCATTTACATAGTGCTTTTCATCCACATATCCCTGAGAATGCTTGGGGCTGGAACCATCTTTGTGTTTTGTGTTTCTGTACTACCTAGCACAATAGGGATCTGGTGGATGACTGAGGCTCTTAGGTTATACTGCATAAGAATAATTGTGAATAATCAAGAATAACTGTATTAAGGTGGGTAAAGTATCTATCTATCTTTACCCAAATTGGCAAAGTGTATTGTACAATCAGTGAATACCAGAGTCATGTTTGGCTCCTAGTCCAGTGTTCTGTATGTCACTAGACCATGCTTCCTCCTTAAGAGGCACATCCTGTCTCTAACCTCCTTGGGTGTGGAAGGATAAGGTGTGACCAGTGGGCCTTCTACTATGTAGATCTACAGGATAAAACCCCAGTTTAGGGGGAGAGCTGTGGCAGCTGACACTACTACAGCCTCTAGTTTGTAGAAGAAGTTGTGAAGCAGCTGAGCTGCAGAATCTTATTTACCTTGAACCCAGTAGAGATTCTTCTGCAAAGCTCATTTAACTCTAGTTTTGCACTTGTGAGCAGATTATGACCCATATGAATTATCTAAATTCAGTTGTGTCAACACAAGCTCTTATTATAATAGAATTGTGCATTACTAAATTATAATGTATAGAGACTATGTAGTAACTTTAAAAAACTGATAAAGCTATTTATTTCTTTTTTACCCAGACGCTACGTGCTGCTGGCAAAACATACATGATATTTTTCGTTCTGGTGATTTTCCTGGGTTCTTTCTATCTGATTAACTTGATCCTGGCTGTGGTCGCCATGGCCTATGAAGAGCAGAATCAAGCAACCATGGAAGAAGCAGAGCAGAAGGAGGCAGAATTTCAGCAGATGCTTGAACAGCTGAAAAAACAACAAGAAGAAGCTCAGGTACCTTTGTAATCCAAAACTGCTCCTTTAGTGCAAGACTGTGCCCTGGTCCTTTTCAGCCGCACATGAGAATAAACCCCGCTCCTTCACAGTAGTAAATTACTTCCCCCACACAAACACAGCCCCTGAACAAGGGTGAGCAATAGAGAAATAATGACTCTGCTCTACTCCTTGCTCAGGCCTAAATGATCAGTTCAGTCTGTTGATTAGTAACAAATCTGGTAAAGAACACTGAGCTGAGACACTGGAGATTGAAGTCTCAGATGGAGATGTGAAAAAAACACTGGTTCTGCTACATGAATTATTTACAGCTAAATGACTTTTCATTACATTTATTGAATGTAACTCAGGACAAATATTTTGCTGTGAAAACGGCAAGACTGAGCAGAAAATTACAATAGAGATTCAGGCCAAAAGAAAACTTACTTATTTTGTGGGCAGTGCTCCCCACTAGAGTAGTGTTGCATCACTTGGAATCAGATTGGAAAAAAGGCATACATTTTAAATGGTGAGAGTAATTAGCACTGGAACAATTTAGCAGGGGTCATATTGGATTCTCCATCACTGACAATTTTAAAATCAAGACTGGATGTCTTGATTCAAGAAATTATTTTGGGGAAGTTCTATGGCCTGTGTTATATAGGAGGTCCGACTAGCTGATCACAATGGTCTCTTCTAGCCTTAGAATCCATGAACCTTTGGGTCCTACTTTGAAGCCTCTTTCCTCTTTTTGAAGCCCCTCACACTTCCTAATGGACTGGTTGGTTGACTGACATCGTACTCCTGGCCAATGGCTAGCTAAAGCTGGAGTTGATCTGTATCTTCCTAGTACGTGTCTGGCTAAAGACCAGCCGAGCTGTGCCTTCTAGCAACATCTGGTGCTGACTGCAGCTTTAAAAAACGCATTATTTAGTAAAATTCTCTACAGATGTTTGAGACTATAAGCAGGACCAGGGCTGTTGTGGAACATAGTTTAACTCAATTCTATGAAGACCACTTACTGGAATGATGGCACTGGACATTGCTAGTCCATTAAGGAGTTGGAAAGTATCCATATGTGCAAAGGACCCAGCAAAGGTGGTTTAAGGAAACGTTATCCCCTGTTACTGCAGATTTTTTTTCTCTTATATTTTCTTTTCTCTACATTCTTTCTTTGACTACATTCCCTGAACTTTGTATAGTTTCTCTGCTGGTTAAGATTCATTGCAAAAATGCTATATTGTTCCTTCTTCTTTAATCCAACAAAAACATGATTGTTCACCTGTGGCTCCAGTGATGCAGTTTTCTTCTGGACTGTTCTACTCCCTGTCAGGTTCAGGCTAGAATATCAGGGCCATTTTTGGTCTGGATTGCAGTGGACTGGTGAATTATTGTTCCTTACACATTGACAAAAAGGTGCTTTGTGAAATATGCAATGCTTTATGAAGTGGGTTCAGTGGGTTCAGTGCTTCACTCTCACAAACATCACATTCACTCACTTTAAAAAAAATTAAAAATATTAGTGTTGTACATTTTAATTGTGTTTAACTTTGTGACAAAACAGGCAGCAGCAGCAGCTGCAGTAGCAGCTGATTCAAGAGAGTTCAGCGGAGTAGGTGGGGTAGGAGGATTCTCTGAAAGTTCTTCTGAAGCATCGAAGTTGAGTTCAAAGAGTGCTAAAGAGAGAAGGAACAGAAGGAAGAAGAGAAAACAGAAGGAGCAGTCTGAAGGAGAGGAGAAAGATGAGGAAGATTTTCACAAATCTGGATCAGAAGATAGCATCAGAAGGAAAGGTTTCCGATTCTCCATTGAAGGGAACAGGCTGACATATGAAAAGAGGTTCTCTTCTCCACATCAGGTACAGTGGTATTATCCATTCAACTGTGTCTTTATTGCATCATAATCTGTTTGTCATGGAGAGTGCAGTAATGGTAAGGTCAGAAGGTGAACATCCTTATTCCTGCAGAAGGTGTCACAGGATCTTTAATGTAATTTCAAATGGTCAGGACTTTTTGTTAAACACTTGCAGTGAAATATGAAGCTGTTAGAATTAGAGAGATTTTGTTTTTCATTGCAAATTAAAAAAAATAAACCCACCTGAATGAAAAATGTGTCACTTCTCACATTTCTTTCTTGAAAATGGGCCCATTTACTTGTGAAAATGGGTGCATTCAGAGTGAATAGTGGTTTCAAGATTTTGCATGTTCGTAATCTGAAATATCACATTTCCAGTGACAAAGCAGCCATTTAATGAACTTCACAAAAAACAAAATATGAGGGACACAAAGTCACTTCACATGGCAAAAATTTCCATGTGAAATTTTTCATGTGAAAAGTGTTCATTAGTTTCAGGACCTTGGTTTCATGTCTCAAAAAAAGATAGCAGTCCCAGTAGCAAAGTGCCACTTGCCTCTCTCCTGTGGCATTGGCACAATGGTGACTGAGAGAGAAGAGTGCCATCTACAGAATCCACAGCACACTTCCTTCAGCAGCTGTCTTTTATGCAGAGGTCTTGGATCCCAACACTGACCCAGCTCAAACATGTTTAGTATGTGAGATCAGATAGGATAACCACACAAAGTCGTATCGCTCCAGCAATATAGGCTATGTCTACACTTACGGCGCTATGTAAAGTACAGACACTGCATGCTCCCCAGCACAGGTATAAATAGCAGTGTAGATGATGAGGCATTGCTTAGATGAGTAGAGTAAAGACATGCCAGAACTTTATGATATATACTCTACATACTCTTTACATGCCCCAACAGTGCCTCTCGCCATCTACACTGCTATTTTTAGCAGTGTAGTGTCCCCCTGCCTCCCTTCAGGCAGAGTCTTTCATTGCCATGTGGAGTTTCACACTGAAGTGTGTTCCAGCCTCCTTTTCATTGCAGCGGTTAGTCACATGTACCCTACATGCTGCCCTAAGTGTAGACAAGGCCATAGTGTTTCTAATTAAGTCATAATAAAGGATGACCGTATGTAGTCATTCAAGTCAAGAGGAGTATTCATATGAGTAAAGTTACACAAATGCTTGAATGGTTTTAGGACTGGAGTTTAATTTGAGGTCGGATCCTGAAAAGACTCATGCATATGAGTAAATTAACTCACATGAGTAGCCCCATCAAATTAAATGGGACTACTCACACAAGTAAATTTATTCATATGCACATATGTTTTTGCAAGATGACCCTTGTTAGTACTTGTTTAAGGAAATGCAAACAAAAAAACCCTCTGAGAACTCCTTGCAGGATTGGGGCCTAAATGAATAATATCTAGGAAAATATTTACATTTTTTAAGCTAACTCATATTTGTTGGCTGTCTGTCAGTACAAAGTAGGGCCCAAGAAATTTGCAAAAAAATTTATGTAGCCAAGCATACAGACCAACACAAAGCAGGAATAAATAAGAGTCTAGCTTCAGTTTTATTAATTTATGAACAGCATGCAATAAAATATGCAGAGAGTTAGAGGAAGCAATTTCATTAAACAGCATCTTTTACTATAATTAAACTGATTGATTTTATTTTTCTAAGTGGAAAAGTAACTATGGGCAGTGGCAATCACTTATGTGCTCTCTTTGATTAATTTTACTCTCAAGCCACCTAAAAGTGTGTGTGTGTGCACGCGTGTGTGCAATAGTCTCTATCTTTGTCTATGAAATAAATTTTTAGAACATATTAACTTTGTATTTGTCCATATGAAAACATTTTTTAAGAATTTTCAGCTAATAATTATATAATTTTCTTTTCATACAGTCTTTGCTGAGCATTCGTGGCTCCCTGTTTTCCCCAAGGCGCAGCAGCAGAACGAGTCTTTTCAGCTTCCGAGGTCGAGCAAAGGATGTAGGATCAGAAAATGACTTTGCCGATGATGAACATAGCACTTTTGAAGACAATGAGAGTAGAAGAGGTTCTCTCTTTGTTCCACATAGACATGGTGAACGGCGCAACAGTAACATTAGTCAGGCCAGTAGGTCATCCAGGATGGTACCAGTGCTTCCAGCAAATGGGAAAATGCACAGCACTGTAGATTGCAATGGAGTGGTTTCTTTAGTTGGTGGACCTCCGGCTCTCACGTCACCTGGACAGCTTCTTCCAGAGGTGATCATTGCCAGCAGTGGCTGTTTTATGAATGTAAGGAAGTTTCTAATAGGCAAGGTGGCCTCTTCTTACTACACAGGCCTGTGTTTCTACAAAATGAAATCACTTGGGAATGATTTCTGGTTGGTCAAGCTGTGAATGATCCTGAATATTTTAACACCTCCACAAATGACACAGGCTAAAAACTGAAATTTGTCTCCCAATCTCTAATTAAATACCTGAAAATACTTGTTAATACACTAGGCATTAACAAGATAAAATAGTAAATAATGTAATTAGCAAAATGTATGGCTTTATTATATATCAAGGCAGTCAGTACATTTTCACTGAAGATTTAACCGAGAAGTTCTGCATTCCTATATCAGATGAATGTCAAAAATTACAAGAATGATAAATGGGTTATATATAATTAATGGAATAAATTAAGCCATGGTATAACTCCCATTAACTCCACATACCCCTGTCAATAGAATACTGTGTTTATCGTGAATGGGTTGTGATGGTACTACTCTCAGTCAGTTCAAGATTCTTACAGGTTAATTTTTTGTATAAATTTCAGTGTGATTAGACATTATTTGTCCTTTGATTTTGGTTTGAAAATTTAGGTATAGGCTTGCTGCATAGATTTTCAATCTAAATGAAGAATCAACCCAAGAAAATATGCACACTTCACTTGTGCCCACAGCTGTCTGTCTATGTAGGCTGTGCTGATACAGATTTATGAAAAGATATTCCCACATATTTAGAAAGATATTTATAAAAAAGCTCAGTACCAAATTCTGTGGATCTTTTTTCAAATTTACAAATAGTTAAATCCAATGTGAGAAAGACGTGCAAATTGAATTTCTGGGCCCTGAATCAGCAAAGTATATAAGCACATGCCTAACTTTAAGCACACGAGTAGTCCCATTGAAGTCAATGTGGCTATTCACATGCTTAAAGTTAGGCATGTGCTTAAATTTTTAACTGAACTGAGACTTAAATGAAATCAGTATACTGGGGATATGAACATACACGTCCCTCATTTTCCTGGAAACTCACTACATTTTTATAGAATCCATATAGCGTTTGCTTATTAAATCAATACACATGGTGATAGTCTATTTTATCAGCCTTTTATTTTCAGGGCACCACAACAGAAACAGAATTAAGAAAGAGACGGACAAGTTCTTACCATGTTTCTATGGATTTCCTGGCAGAGCCCAGTGCAAGGCAAAGAGCAATGAGTTTAGCCAGCATACTCACAAACACAATGGAAGGTATGTAGCATGGTATGTTTGATATGACTAAGTATAAATAGTATAAATACCTGGTCAGAGAAAAACTCTGCAACACTTGACTTGTTCACCTGGAAGTGTATATGGGAAGGGATGGTCTTGTGGCTAAAGCACAGTACAGTGAGTTAGGAGACTAGGCTTCTACTCCTGGCTCTGTCACAGAATTCCTGTTTGACTTTGGGGAAGTGACTGAGGATCGGTCTTCTCTATGGATTTTTGTTGACATAGGTGTCAGTCATGGTGTGAAGAGGTGTGATCCATGACTGACATAGTTGTGCTGGCAGATGTCCTTAGTGTAGATGAAGCTATACTGGCAAAGCTGGTGACTGGTATAACTTGTTTTACTCATGGTGGTGATTTTATTATATCAGTACAAAGTGTCCACATCAGGAGTGTATTGACATTATAGTATACCATTTTTCCTGTACCAGTAAAGTGCTCCTGGTGTAGACATGGTCTAGGGCTGTGTCAGTGCTAGATTTTTTACATAAAATTTCCCACCATTACTCTCACAAATGCAATTCAATTGGGACGCAGCAATAGTAGGAATGCTAGCTAGAGCAGCCACTGGTGTTCTAGCTGCCAAGTAACCCAACCCTGCTCAGATCAGGTCTGTTTTCAGTGCCTACACTAATATTCCCACCATTTCTACCTCTTGTGGAGCCACATTGATAATAGCATCAGCAGGTCCTTAGAACTTCTTGCCTTCAGGAGCAGCAGCTGTCTTTTCTGTTGAGGTCTTGGATCCAAACACTGACCCAGCTCAAACATGTTTAGTATGTGAGATCATATTGGATAACAACACTAAGTCGTATCACTCCAACAATATAGGCTGTGTCTAAACTTACAGCACTATGTAGAGTACAGACACCGCATGCTCCCCAGCAAGGTATAAATAGCACTGTAGATGATGAGGCATTGCTTAGATGAGTGGAGTAAAGACATGCCAGAATTTTATGGTATATACTCTACATACTATCTACATGGCCCAAAGGTGCCTCTCATCATCTACACTGCTATTTTTAGCATTGTAGTGTCCCTCTGCCTCCCTTCTGCCAGAGCCTTTAATTGCCATGTGAAGCTACACACTGAAGTGTGTTCACAGCCTCCTTTTCACTTCAGCGGTTAGTCACATGTACCCTACATGCTGCCATAAGTGTAGACAAGGCCATAGTGTTTCTAATTAAATCATAATAAAGGATGACCGTATGTAATCATTCAAGTCAAGAGGAGTATTCACATGAGTAAAGTTACACAAATACTTGAATGGTTTTAGGATTGGAGCTTAATTTGAGGTCGGCTCCTGAAAAGACTCATGCATATGAGTAAATTTACTCACATGAGTAGCCCCATCAAGGATCTTTTTTCCTTCCACACAGTGAACCCACTTTAGATAATAAACAATAAACAAAAAATTAACTGCTTCATAGCTAAAGGCCAAGTTGTAGGTCTTTTATAGACTTGTTTTAATTGGTTTTGTTACCACCTTGAGGCTCTTGGCACCAGTTTTCACCTTGGGTAGCAGCGCAAAATAGCATCTGAAAATCAGAAGATCGTAACTAAAACAAAACATCACCACATCACCCCTCTTACAGTAAAGTGCAAAAGTACGTCTCTCATGCACCTCAAGACCACAAGGGCAAAGGAAAGATTTACGTGCCAAGAGGACAAGGTTAAGGGCATATTTATGTCTCTTGGTTCTTGTCTAGAGACAAACAGGCAAGAGTCCCACTTGCACAGATGCTGATAGCAACTGGGTTCCCCTGGTTTCATCGAAAAGAATACTATCAAACAAGCAGATGAGGTGCCCACTCATGCAGTCAGTGATAATCACCAGGTACTTCTACTCTTGTCATAGAAATACTACTTCAAGTGATCAGGGAGGTTTTCACCCTCAGCCATGACAGCCATTGGATATAAAATAAAAGAACAACATGAGCTAAGTGACCCTGTCTCTGACTCTCAAGTGCAAATAAAATCCCTCCAAAATTATTTAATTAGTTTGATTTCTATGGGGAAACAGTCATGTATCCTTCTCTTGTATTCTTGTACTCTGATACTTCCATCCATTTCTGTTGGGATAATTGGTGGATAACAAGGGCAGTGATAGCGTGTAATGGTTCCTTACAGTCTGGGTCCTGAATCTTTCCAATTCTGACATTGATAGGGCCAATCTAGCTATTAGATATGGAAAACAGTCTCATAAATCGTGAGAGAAAAGCTCACTCAAGAAATGAGAACATGTGCCACATCCCATCCCCCAGGTAAGTTCTATACTGTGTCAGAAGGTGATTGAAGTACACCAGGATTCTGCTATGGTATCCTTTGAATTAAAGCTGTGTTTTGCTTCCTGTTTAGATTCTGGTTTGTGAATGGCTATTTTATTAATTGAATAGCTAGGATTCTTTTAACATCAGTTTTAGAATTTATTGGTCCAAGTTCCTCTTTTTAATTATTTAACTTTTGCTGTGGCTGGACATCAGTCTGGGTCTCAAGGGATCTGTTTCATCATACCATTTCTATCACCTAAATATTGAGAAGAATGCTTAGGCCTTAAAACAAAGCCCACTTGATACATATAATAAAGAGCTATCTTTTTAAATTTGTTTTACACTTTTCCCTCTAGAACTTGAAGAATCCAGGCAGAAATGCCCACCATGCTGGTATAGATTTGCTAACACATGCTTGATCTGGGATTGCTGCACTCAATGGTTAAAAGTAAAACATATTGTAAATTTGATTGTGATGGATCCATTTGTCGATCTTGCTATTACTATCTGCATTGTTTTAAACACATTGTTTATGGCCATGGAGCATTATCCAATGACGGAACAGTTTAGTCACGTGCTTTCAGTAGGAAATCTGGTAAGTCTTTCATAATGTATCATGTGACATACAAATACATTTCTCTTAAAAAGAAAATTGAGTGTCCTTACACATCTTACAAAGATATTTTGTACAGTCTGTGATATGCTCACAGGCCGCTCTGTTTAACTATGCATGTTTAAGATACACTGTTTGTCTTTTCTTTAATGCAGTGTTTGTAAGAGACCTCAAAAGCATATCTCCAGTTTTGCCTATACAAATAGACTGCTAATAAAAAAGTTTAATTCATTCCCCTTCAAAAAAATTATCCTAGTTGTAGAACAAATAAGGAGCAGACACCAGAAGTCTGTAAAATTGTCTGATATTTTGAATGGCTCTCTCAATTGTCATTGAACTCATTTACATAAATGCATGCTCCCAGAAATGGTAATTGGTGTGACAGAGTACAGAGGATCACTCTTGTCAATAAATTGCAATCTGGTTACAAAACACACACCTTATGCCTTATTTGTGAGGTACTTACTTGTTTAATGGAATCCAGATTTGGATTCAGAATGTGCCTGGATGGGTGAGGGGTGAGGAAGGGCAGAAGAAACTTTCCTCACCTTGTACTCTCCTACAGTAGAGGCAGACACAATTCAAAGGGACAGTTATGATAATATCTGATCTCCTATATAACACAGCTATGGTATTTCAGTTGGTGATTCCTGCAGCTAGTGCAATAACTTGTAGCTGAATTAGATCTTTTTGAAAGACAATCAGTCTTGATTTAAAGACCCCATTGATAAACTGTTTCAGTGGGTTAATTACCCACTTACTGTTAAAAATGTTCACCACATTTCTAGTTTGAATTTTTCTACATTCACCTTCTAGCCGTTAGATCTTGTGACATCTTTGTCTGCTTGGTTACAGAGCATTTTACTATCAGATAATTATAGACCACGATTGAGTTGCAGTTGCAGTCCCTGTACTCTTCTAAGTATAGAAACTGCTTCCTGCTAACTCTTCCTGATGTGCTAGCAACCCCAAAGGATGGAACAGGAAGAGGGCCATAGTTCTGGCCCCTGTGCACTGGACAACAATGTGGACAGATGCACAGGGGAGAACATAGTCCACCTTGGAAGAAGATGGTGCCATGGATTGATAGTGCCTTCTGGAGGTCATCCTGGGAGAAAGGTTGCTGCACACCATCCTCAATATAGTCTGTGTTAAAATGGAAAAATCTGGTCTCAAATAAGTTTAGCCTTATCTCAGAAAATTGAGTAAAGATGGCATTTGAGAAGGAAGGAACAACTAGAATGGTTTCTGTTTGACAACCTCCATACATGCTTATTAGCAGTTTGAAGAGAAGACCTATTTCCCTTCTTTGCTGATTCCCATTTAGCTATTAAATGTTGTGAGGCATGTTTTAGCTTCACTTCTGAATTTGATTGCTAAATCAGTGCACAGAAATATTTAGAAGCTATGTAGATTTATCATAGAAAGCCCTTCTATTTTGATAAGAGTTACTGGACACATATAACTTGTTAAACATTGTCACTATTATTTTTATCTAAAATGTTCTTCAATATTATTAGAGTAACAGATTATCTTTTACCTTTAGGTCTTTACTGGGATCTTCACAGCAGAAATGTTTCTCAAGATAGTTGCCATGGATCCTTATTATTATTTCCAAGAAGGCTGGAATATTTTTGATAGTATTATTGTGAGCCTCAGTTTAATGGAGCTTGGTCTTGCAAATGTGGAAGGATTATCTGTTCTCAGATCATTCAGATTGGTAAGTACACTAGTAAACAATGCAGACTTTTACATTATATGTTTACTTTATACACACAAATATACTGCTTCATTTTTAATTTTCTCTTTGTATATTATAAATCTGGTGCACATTACTTTTCTCCAAAGGGAGTATTCTACAGTAGATTCTCATTACCGAGTCAGAAGTTCATTGCATAATTTTTTAAAAGCTGCTAAATTGCCCAGCCACTAGTTGCATGCATCTACTGTAGGTCGTGCATCTTCCTCACAATGTATTTGTAATCTGACTTTCTTCTTTGAGTGATTGTCCACACAGATTCCACTCTTGGTGTGTGAGATTGGAGTCTTTTTAATATCAGTGTCTGCTGGGGCTGCACATGTGCCCTGAGTGCCCTCTCATTCCTCAGAGCCGAAGGCATAAAGGGTGGGGCAGCCACAACCACACTCCATTCCTTCATTTTGCTGATGCCTGCGAGATGGAACCCTATAGTATCCGTGAGACAGAACCCTGTAGTATCTGCATTCCTCGCTTTTAGTGTGTAGCTAGCTTAGTTCTCCTACAGTTTGTGAAGTTTATTGCTAGTTTTAGCAATATCGGTAAGTTTTTCTTTGCCAATTGGCTTAGTTGTGTTCTGTATAAGGACATTTTCCCAGTAAATACCCTCATATTCATGGGTTCTTCTCCCCCATAGAATAGCCAAAATGAGGAAAAAAACAAATATAGTAGGCATAATTACTCCACAGAAAGTCACCAGCTCTGGCCATTTCATCCTCCTCCTCAGATGAGGCAGTTAATCTTCCATCCACTGCTTCAATGAATGATCTAAAGGCTTTCCAGGACTTGTTAAAATAATGGCAGAGATGCTAGATTCTCCCTGGAGGCCATCCAGAAGAAATAACATAAGCATCTGGATATCCTGCAATGGAGTAACTAACCATATTCTTAATAATGGACTACTCAAACCATCCACATTGATCTAGAAAATCCTCACCCCTTTAATCCCAGTGACACTGAAAAGGGCAGAAAGAAGATACCAGGCATCTGCTAAAGGGTTTGAATATTTCCATTAATACCCTCCCCAGTATACTTATAGTACATATGGCCCTTGAGAGGTCAAAGCAGCAGGGAAGGTGTTAAACTTAATGGGGCCAGGGCAGAAACTAAGGAGTGAGCACCCACCCAGTCTCACCTGTTCACACATTGGATTTCTGCAATGTTTCTAAAGCCAAAGTCAAAGCCCTGCCACTAGGGGCTGAAGCCCAAGCTCCCCAATGCCAGGCCCCTGTGGCATGGGGCCCCAGGCAATTGCCCTGCTTCCTACCCCCTAACACCAGCCTTGCAAAGCTGTAAGGCTAGACCAATCTACCCCTCAGGAGAAAAGACATGAAGGACTTAGATCTCTTTGGGTGGACCCCCTCAGATGAGTGTGTCAAATTTTCAGACACTGCTCTCTGCATATCAATTTCTGTAACAGGATAGACATTCCAATTTAATGGACAGACTCCCGAAAGACCGGCACAGGGCACTGAAGTGCCTAATGATAGAGGGTCAGCCCAGGGCCTGAACAGCAATACAAGCAGTGCTTAATGCATCAAACACGGCAGAGAGGTTGATGGCCTCTGCCATGGTGATGAGGAGGTCTTCTTGGCTGCAAGCATCAGGAATTCCATTGGGGATCCTGGTCACCGGACTTGTGATTCAAGGGCAATGAGCTCTTTATAGTTGTATGTATGTGGCATTCCATACCTTAAAAGACCCCAGAGCCAATCTAAGATCCTTGGGACTGTATGTCCCAGCCCTCCAAAAAAGCACCCAAGACAACAACAACCATTCTAGAGGCAGAGACCATATTGTCAGTACTATCCACAGCAATGGTCTTCAGATTGCTTGAGGAAGAGGCAGCAATTTCACCAAAGATGACCACTGCTTCTTCCTCAGCTGCCCCCCAATCTGAGGCTTCAGCAAGCAACCGTTTTGATACATACATCTAGAGTCTTGCTGGATGACCTTCAGATCCTCCTCCTTCCAAACCTCCTTTTGGCAACCTCCCTCCCTATTTCCAAGAAGCCTGGGTTCTTCTTCAAGTGCTTGCTCATGTCAATTCCAAGTATGTGTGCGTGCACTGCATGCACAGTCGTCGGAAGGCTTTTCCCCTAGCAGTACCCATTGCATTGGCTGTGGAGCCCCCTGGAGTCATGCCTTCATGGCGGTGTATATAGCTCCCTGCTGACCCGCTGCCTCTTCAGTTCCTTCTTACCAGCTGTGATGGTCGTTGGAGCTGCTTCTTCTCTCTCTTGCTATGGCAAGCGATCCCCTAGTGGACTTTCCTATTTGTATCTGTAAATAGTTTTAATTAGAGTTATTTAGTGGTTTTAATATAGGATAGTTAGTTAGATAAGTTTCTGTTGGGGTTTATTCCCTCCATGTTCTCCCTCCTCCTTCTCGGGAACCGGGACATGCCTCAGTCTCAAGGCTTCAAACCGTGTGGGTACTGCCAGAAGCCTATGCCAAGGGGAGACCCTCCTGCTTAAAGTGCTTGGGAGAAGCCCACCAGACAGACAAGTGTAAAATCTGTAAAGGCTTCCACTCAAGAACCAAGAAGGAGAGGAACTTTAGGTTAAAACTTCTCCTTATGGAATTGGCTCTTCGTCCCCAGCTGGCACAACCCGTATTGGCCTCAGCCCCTGCTCCAGCGAAACCAGCAATGTTGACTCTGGCCTCATAGGCAGGTCTGTCGAGTCTGGTCCCGTTGGACTCCCCAGCATAGGAGAGCCAAATGGGGGAGTTGGATCTTCCATTCCCTGGACATGTTTGAGGCTGCCAGGAACCTCATAGCGATGACAGCCCTGCAGTCCCCGGCACCGGCAGCACCGGTACTGCACAGAGGAGCCATGCTTTCTAAGGGCAAACTGGCCATGATGCGGCACTGGTCACCCTCCCCTTGGCACCACTGTCCGACACTGTCCCATTCAGCACTGGCATGATCACCGAGGTCGGACTCGTCTTTGGGTTCGGAGCCAGAATCGTGCATCTCCAGATGGAGCCAGCACCACTGTCATCACCATTTGAGGCAAGAGGACGATCAGCAAGTTCCCATGATGTCCTGGCCACCACAATGGCAGGTGCCCACACAGTGGCCTTTCTGGAATCCAGATCTCTATATTTTGCCTTGGACAGGCAGGCCCCCCCACCATCCTCCATAGTCCGGGAACTTCCACGGGGATCAGAGCTCAGCATCCTGGCTGGCACCGAGACCATCCCTGCCACCGTGCAGGAAGTATCAGCACGAGAAGACCTCCACGAATCAGAGGTTCAGGAGGACCCGGTGCTGCTAAGGGCAGCATCCTGTTCCTCCCCTAATCGAGGCAGTAGCGGGTTCATCTGCCACGTTGCTGACTATGCACAATATTGCCCACCAAGAGCTACTCAGAAGGGTAGCACAAAATCTGGGCCTCCAGGTGGAGGAGATTTCAGAAGAAGCAGATCCCCTGGTGGACATCCTGACCCCCGAGGGTCCTTTAAGGGTGGCCTTATCCTTCAACAAGATCATCCAGAATATCACCAAGAAGACCCTATGGCAAACCCCCACCTCCATTCCCCCCATGACCCAGGGGGTGGAAAGGAAGTACCTTGTACCCTCCAAGGGGTACAAATACCTATTCACCCACCCTCAGCTGGGCATGCTGGTTGTGGCAGCAGCAAACACAAAAGAAAGACCAGGGCAACAGGGTCCTACGCCCAAATTTAAGGAGGCAAAAAAGCTATGACCTCTTCGGCCATAAGGTCTATTCACCGGGGGGGCTCCAGCTTCGGATTGCCAATCAACAAGCGGTCCTCAGCCCTTCCCACTTGTACACAAGGTCCTGATGAAGGTCAGAAGGGAGGGAGCATCAATTATATTAATAGCACCATTGGGGCCATGCCAGCACTGGTTCACCACGCTTCTAGACCTGTCAGTGGACATGCCGATAACTCTGCCCCTGGTCCCAGATTTGATTACACAGGACCATGGCCACCTCTAGCATCCCAATCTGCAGTCTCTCTATCTCGTGGCATGGAAACTCTGTGGCTAAGCCCTTTGGAACTCACATGCTCAGACCCTGTTAGAGAGGTCCTTCTTGGCAGCAGAAAGCCATCCACCAGAGCCATGTATCTGGCCAAGTGGAAAAGATTCTCCATTTGGGCATTACAAAATGACATTCCACCCTTACAGTCATCGATTCCCTTTATCCTGGGCTATTTGCTGCATCTGAAACATCAAGATCTGTCAGTATTGTCAGTAAAGGTGCACCTGGCCACTATCTCAGCTTTCCACCCCAATCAATTGGTCACTCTGTTTTTGCAAACCCCATGGTGGGCCACTTCCTCAAAGGCAGAGAGAGGCTGTACCCTCAAGTAAGACAGCCAATTCCCCCATGGGATCTCAACCTGGTGCTCTCTAGACCAGTGGTGGATATGGGGACAGAGTAGGCTACAGGGATTGGTTCCTGGGTTGGTGTTTCTGTGGTGTGGTGTGTAGTTGCTGGTGAGTATTTGTTTCAGGTTGGGGGGTTGTCTGTAAGCGAGGACTGACCTGCCTCCCAAGGTCTGTGAGAGTGAGGGATCATTTTCTAGGATAGGTTGTAGATCGTGGATAATGCGCTGGAGAGGTTTTAGCTGGGGGCTGTATGTGATGGCCAGTGGTGTTCTGTTATTGTCCTTGTTGGGCCTGTCCT